CACTGATCCACATGCAGTAAGGTGATACAAGTGACACATGACTAAATAATACATCATCCTACACTCTTTTTTTTTTTTTTTTTTTTTTTTTTTTTTTTTTTAATTTTTTTTTTTTTTTTTTTTTTTTTTTTTTTTTATTTTAAATTTTTTTTTTTTTTTTTTTTTTTTTTTTTTTTTTTTTTTATTTTTTTTTTTTTTTTTTTTTCCCGGGTTTTTTAATTTTGTTAAAACATCAGAAATTTTCCCCCTTCAGGAAACAGAAATACTATTTTTATTCCCTAATTAACTGCCATTCCACTTTGCCACTTGCAAAATGAATCTAAACTTCTGCAGATTTTTCAAATTAGAAGTCCTCTAGCCTTCTCTTTATTCGTAGGCTTTTATATTAGAATTTAAATCACATTGCTGACAAAGTGTTCTCACACAATTAATAACTGAATTAGAGTATTAAAGTATTTCTGATTCTGAGGTTTACTCAACTAGTGAAATTATGTCAACTGTCTTGAATGATAAAAGCTCCACCATGATCGTCATTTTTAAAGTTTTTTTTTTTTTTTTTGCATTTTGCCTTCCATAGATATGATTGATTGGTCTGGGGAATTTGTTTCGGTCGGCTTGTTATAATTTGAGCTACTTTTGGAACCATCTGGGGACTTTCCATGATAAACGGTTAGTAAGTCCAGTGAAATAGTGGCCTGCTTTTCTCCAGTTATTATGACTGAGACTGACATGCAGTGACCAACTGACAATCGACAAAGCCAAATGTCATTTCAGTTCCTTACAACGAGGTCTAATTATTTGGTTATAATGCCATTGCTCTATGACTGTGTAAGCCATCCAAAAGCTTACATCTGTTCCTAGAGCATGGATGACTTTTTATGTTTAATAGACCTATGTTATCCAGAGACTAGCTGGAGAAAATGTTTCTGTGTTTTATTAACTGTGTTCTTCCAATTATACTAACTAAAGGTCAGTATAAAGGTCAGAGGTGCATCCTAGGAGGGAATGCTAACACCCATTTATTAGGGTACACATTCATTCCCAACAATGTAAACCCAATAGGGTGATTACTGATAAGTTTGTTACACTGTTATTATCTCAGAATATTAATTATTATCTAAATGAGGGATTTGTGACTGTGTCCTGTCACCTTTTACATTGTTTTACTTATTTTCTTCAATAATGGCTATTGTAATGTAAAAATAGTTTAATTCAGGCACCAAATGTACATTTGAGACAGTTTTGGCCCCAAAAGAATAATATATAAATTAATAAAACTTCTATTTAGTTGATATTGAATTTGTTTTCCAAGGGACCCTGTCAGTACTTAAAACGGTGCTTGTATTTGGACTGTGTTGTGAACCTGTTTTTCTTTGGGCCCTCTGCAGTCTACTCTATGGTCAGATTGAATAGGTTTAAACTGTGATTTTTCAGTCCATACTACTTTCGGTAGTCGGTCTGATTGAACCCTGGTACAGCATTTTGTTCTCCATGTACAAAACATGACTTTTCTTTTGTAAACCCTTCATACAAAATAAAATATATTTGGAAAAATGACTTTCATCAACCTAAAAGCATCAGAGAAGAAAAAGTAGTAGTCGTTTCAACCCTCTGCCTGTACAGAGGCTTTTGTGGAAGGCGATTTCAAAGTTTTGAATAGTAGGCTAGTGCATATAAAATGTGAAGAGGACAAAATAAATCTAAATTAAACCAAAACCTGGGCTACTTGTGGATCTTGTTTGCCAGTGGTCATGGAAGTAGTTTCCGTTATCATCACATGACGTTGGTAAGTCACTGGAGAATAAGTGGTTGTATACAGGGATAAAGATCGTAACCCGTATCTGTTAAAAGATGGTCTCTGGTTTTGGATGTGATAATGACCTTTGACCCCTCCCCACTCAGTAATGTGACTGGTTTTGGTCTGGTGTTCACAGACGGCTGATGTCATTCCTGTGACATCACTCTGACGTAGTGATGTCACACACTACTGCAGTGTTACTCTCACAGTCCGCCCTTGTAACATCAAACATCTTAAGGTGCTCAGTGGTTTTAGTTTAATTGCAGAGTCATAGACTATTAAACATTGTTTACATACTAATATTTGTAATCTGGTGTCAACTGTTGCCTAGCAACACCTGCTGTAAGCATAAGATAACAGGCAAGTGCTGGGATGACTGACGAGGGAAGGGTTTTTTAATAAAGTAATGAATACTGAGACCGGGTGTTTTTGAAAAGTGAAGATACTCTCATTATTTTGAATTACCTTCAGACAGAGAGGAGAATTTCGCTGTGAGATGGGAACTGAGGTCTGGGTCAGACAGAGCTTTCCACTGCTGTCAACTCAACAACCAGTCTACAGACTTAATAAACCACTGAGAGACTTATTCTGTGTCCGTCCATGTACTTTACATTATGATACACAACTCCTAAGGATTTTAAAATGCAACAATAATTTGTAATGTGGTCTCTTTTATCAGGTAGGATTTAGTGAAACGGAAAAGGTAGAACTTTTTAAAGAACTCTTCTGTCCTTGATTGTAAGGCCAGTAAATCTTTATTGTATTTGCTGGGAAAACAATCTCACCACAAGGTCCTTTTTAGTGGTTGTCCTGTGGGTTTTGATCATTACACATAACGTTAGTTGTAGAAAACAACATTTTCCCAATTGGTCGAGAAGAATACACTTTTAATTCAAAACAAATAAGATGTCCTCAAGAGTACTTAACACTAAATGCTATTTTTTTAAGTTAGCAAATTATTTGTACGGACACTTTTCCCATTATTTTCACTATTTTATAGTGTTTATTGTAAATGTATGACATTTTCCACGGCTACTGTTGTAGGTAAAATATAGGCTTGTATTGTTGATCAGTATTTGTGCAATCTGAGCTTTTACAATTCCATGACAACAGGGCGAACGCCATCTCCCGAAGAAGAAGATGATTGTTTTCTCTGTTGCTGTTTCCAAGGTCAAGAATAAACTTTGGACCACAGCATTGTCATAAATAGGACCTTGTTTACAGTATACAATACACAAACAAAAGTGATGCTAAGTGGACTAACAGCCTTGAATGGCATTTACAATACAGTATATTTTACACTGTGTGTTACCTATTGACAGTATATATAAGGTGCCACCAGGTTAACCTTAACAGGAAATCTGCTGCATTTTGTGAAGGAAGGGTGCTTATTGGTTACAGACAGGGCAGCTGGGTGCTGACAAAGCTAAGAGTTTAATTAAAGTTTAATTCTTTTCTGTTTTCTTCAGTTTATTGAAGAGGAGATCCTCATTGCAAAAAGTAGCAACAGGGTTTATGAAATAAGAAAAATGTTATCAAAAATAATACAATAGAGGCTTTTAATTGTACTGATTATAGTCTCATTCATGTGTGATAATTACACTAAGGTAGGGAAATGATAATGATTTATGTTTGAAGTGCTGCATGTAGCATTAGAGCTTATTCCAAAGTGCGGTCTGCTAAATGTGATTATATCAGGGCAGGGCTGAAACGAAGCTGAGAGGGATCAATGGGAATGACTGATGATATAAGGAGTCCCACAAGTGTAGCACAAAAAAGCCAGTGGCATTTAAGCAGAATGTGTTAGTGATAGACAAAGTTATTTATGATTTTTCAAGCAAGTGACATGCATTAAAAGGTCAGTTCCATAGGAGTGTGTGTGTATGAGTTGGTGTTGGATGGCAAAATTGATTTAGTTTGAATTCCTGTGATAAACAGCAGCATGTGTAGCTGCAGGCGGAATCCCAGAGGGCCAACGGATGCAGTCTTTGAAGGTATAACCTTGTGACACCAAATTATGATATTGGTGTAATTGTAGCCATTATATAGTGTTGGGCTAGTATTTTCTTATTTTTCTTCATACTAATGTGAAATCCATAATGTGGGTGTTATTTCATCAGCTGTCACTGGTAGCTAGACTGTAGGGGAGTTGTATTTGCCATTTAGGCTACAGGTTAGATCTCAGAATAACTTTAAAGGTTGTGAGTGTGAGGTATAATTCAGTTTTTCAAAGACATTGCATATTCCTCGCGGGCATGAAGTGTGTGTGCCTTGAAGCAGGTAGGTATGATTTTAAAAGGGCAACATACTTAAACAAGATCTCCACAGCAAGGCTACGTTGCAATCTACTAAATAATGAGATCTCCTCAGAGAGGTGGTGATGTAATATACTAAATAATGAGATGTCCACAGAAGGTCTATGTTGTGATCTACTAAATAACAAGACTAAGAGACTACAGCTAGCTGCTGTGTGAGACCGCGAAGGCACCGCTCTGATTCGATTTAAACTCCACAGTGTTTTCACAGTGCCACGTTCATGTTTGGCAGGTATATGCTTCACAATGTTAACCATCTTAATTTCTTGTGTTAGCATGCAAACATTAGCTATTTAGCTCTAGACCCAGAGTACAGGCGATGCGGATGATCCTTAGTTTTGCAGGTCGTATTTGGGCGTAAATCAAAATATTGGAGAAATTCAAATTTTGACTGGATGATGGTCTCAGATGAAAATACAGTTTCTATAGTTCATTCTCTTTGCAGTGTTTGAAATATTTATCACCAAAGTCAGTGCTTCGTATTCTGGGATACATGAATTTCATGGCAATCCGTCCAATAATTGTTTAGATATTTCAGTTCTTATCAAAGTCGTCATTGCCATCCCCCAGACCCATGCTGCTAGCATGGCTAATAAGGGTTTATTTTCTTTAGTGCAGCCACTTCTGGGCTCAGACGTTTTATCCGACTTATTATGTTACTTGTGTTTTTTCAGCATTTAAATTGTAGTGTGTACTCAAACCACAACTTTTGTTTGAGCTGAATGCTAACATTACAGCCCTGTTTCTGTCCCATATCAGCATTCCAACATACTAACGTTACATTCAACCTTGCTGTATATTGGAAGCACATTGTACTGTATTTAGTCCTTAGGCTTTTGATGCTGTTGAAAGTTTTATGAGAAAATATGAATAAAAAATGATCTTACCTGCCCTGACAGGTTAGAGTAAGCTGTGTACATGGCCCCTCTGTAAAGGGACATCTTAGTTCACATTCCCTAGATAAAATACAATAAAAGGAGATGATGTCAGTGCGGAGTGTGAAAAATCACAATGTGACTGGTTGTTACAACCTCAAGTTGGTCCAGGGGAGAGGGGAGCGACATGAAACTAAATAAGGAGGAGTCCATTTGTTTAGTGTATTATATTTTTTACCATGTATAGAAGCTTAAATGTAACATCAGGGAGAGTTCTGGCCAAAATAACAACCCAACCAGCCCTGAGTAAATTCACATTACTAAATAAACAGCGCAAAAAGAAATGTTACAACCCTAAACCTAACTCCCAATTAGCACAGAGAAACAGGAGAAAAGGGAATATAACAATAAGGGCAGCACCATCTATAGAGGTAAATGTAGTTGTTAAGATACAAGTTAACAGGTACAGGTATCAGTAATTTGAAATTATTCCTTGATTAACTGAAATCTTACAGAAAAATCACTACCTTTCTGACATTAATCCGACAACAACATACAGAAAACTGTAGACTAAGTCCTGACAGAACAGTTTCAAAGACACAAACATGACAGGTGTAACCAGGCGTTGAAAGTGGTCAAGAGGCCTAGAAGTTCAACCCTTCAGCCTTTATATAGCCCCAAGTGGATCGATTGCAGGTCCCCAGATTCACGGACCAATAGCCCAGGGCAGGAAGAGGAACTACAGCGGAGTCTCACACAGCCTGAGGAGGAACACTGACCATATTAACACATTTCATCAGTTACACCTTCACCTTAATTTATGCAAAATGGATTTTGCCTCTAATGAGAGTACAAAAACATTGTATTTAAGGAAAAATAATACACTTTTCTTACAAGAAATTAACAGAAACTAATCAGTAATAATAATAATTAACCTTTCAGAAAAGGTAATCTTTTAAAGTATAGCATTAAACTATTTTATATAGTGTTCAGACAATGGAATCTAGGAATACAAAAGTCTTTTAAAATCACGGTGCAAACTACAGGGGAGCCCGGGGAGCTTGGCTTTTCTTAATAAGAAATGATCTCCCCTGAAAACATAATTTATGAAATTTTGAGGGGTCTCTAAAATATTGACAGTATGCTTTTTTTATTACTATATTTATTATTATTTAAATGCTATTGTTGTCTTTGTTACAAAAGTGAAAATGCTTCATTTTCAAAACATCATTTTTGTTGTTGTACTGATTGACACATTTTTTAGTTAAACACACTCAACTGAGATACATTTTAACATGTTTGTATTTACTATTTAAATGTTTGGACAGTTATACTGAATGACATCTGATATAATTTCCTATATATTTATATTTCCAACAATACCTCATGATGGAAAATGATCTTATCCATATACAGTAGAGTATTAACCCTGCTGTCAGGGTGAGGTTCCTTCATACAGGGTAATTAATTTTAAAAGCATGGGGCCTTGATTGAAAATATATTGTTTCCTTGATAGACTAAAGCAGTACAGCTGTTGGCTTAACAACTCTTAGAAACAAAGAAAGAAACAAATCTTAAAGGGCTGTAACATATAGATGGAGATCATGCCTGCTGTTAACAGTTACTGTGCTGTGATCAGAGTTTGTCATAATAACGGTGTGCTGCTCTTGAAAGAAGTGTTTGTGATGTATAAATAGTGTTTCTCTTGAACATTCTTTGTTAAGATTACAATAATTGACAGTCTTAGCTTCCATGATTTATGGAACTCTAATATGTATAATTAAAAAAAAAACACTTGGATGCCTGTGAGAAAATAAGTATTATTTTCTTCATTGCATTACTGAAAACTCTGCTGCAGCATGGTTTTGCCCGGTAACAGTATCTATTCCTTTTGAAAAAAAGAAATAGTTCACATCCAGTCGTGCCGTTTCATAATAAAGTCACACTGTTTTGATGCTGACGCCTGCAATGCTGTAGTAGTTTTATAAGACAAACTTCCACTTGATGAATAAAAAGAGTTTTGTGTGTAACTTTATTAGCAATGTAACAATATTGCTCAGCATAGACCACTGCCCTGAGACTGGTAACTGTAAAATGGTTTTGTCCTAAAATTAAAGTATAAAAACTGTCAAAATATAGAATTGATCTTAAGATACCTCTTGCCAGTGTTTGTGTTGACTGTGATTGCCTCATTTCTGGTGATTATTTATGATTACACATATACAGCTGGTATAGTTCTCCCATTTCACTTACAAATGTATGTGTTTTTAAAAATAGCAAGGTTAAGGCGCACCATGGTAGCTCACCTGGTAAAACTGGCACCCAATGTACCAAGAGTCCTTGCTGCAGTGGCCATGGATTGAATCTGAACTGTGGTCCTTTGCTGTGTGCCATCCCCTCTCTTTCCCCCTTTCCTGTCTATCTTCAGCTGTCCTAGCCAATAAATACAAAAAAGCAAATACATTTAAAAACAGAAAGATAATGAGAAATGCTACCAATAAACATTAGCTTTCAACACCTGCATCCACACATATAAACAATGCTTATGCACAAAAACCATGTGTACGCCTTTTTCCAGACATTAACTGGTATTTATAAGAGAACAATATGTGGTGAGAATGTGCGCGCACAAACTTTAGTTCCAGCATACACGTTTTGTGACCTCCCTCAGTGTCTCATACAGATGCACAAGGTACCCTTTAACGTTAAGCCATTTCCTAAACCAAATCAGGAGTATTTGTGGAATTTGTATGCATATTCCTTTCTTTGTGCATACACGCAGTTTATGTGTGAATCTACAAAGTCTACTTTATACATATGCAATATGGTGCTTGGTATTATATAATTTTTTTCCAAGTTGCTGTCAAAATAAAATGCTTCAAGATATAAAGACAACAGAAGGTAAGAGCCTTCGAACATCAGTAGCATACCAGTCCAAGGTTGAGAGTAGACGTTTAGGCTTTATATTCATGCTACGTTTCAGAGGTAAATATTATATATTTTTTTAATACAGCACATATATCTAATGGCTGAAGGTACATATTGTACATACAAAGCATATTTGGTGTAAGATCCATTGTTAAAATGGACCTATTGTTCTCATTTCCAACTCTATATTCTGTCTGACACTCCACTAGAACAGCTTTGCATGATTCCCTCTTATTCGTAACCACAGGGATTACTTTTACATACGTTTACCTCATTATTTGACACTTGGGCCTCATTTAATATCAACATCTGACAATGTTACATTATATATCTGACAGAAACTGAGGAAAAGAATAATGGGTCACCCTTAAATGTTAAACTACCCAGTAGGGTTATGGAATATGATGACACAATATAATATACTAAACAGTTTACTGCGAGATGATTCAACATTTGTCAGCTGTCAGAGATTTTGCCACACAGTTTATACTGAAGAATCTTGTTGTTTTAAGTCATAAGTATAGGTGTTTTCTGTTCAAATGTGTCAAATCAAACAATCACATTAATAGGCTGTATGTCTTGTTGTCAACCATACACTTGACAAGGAAGTACCTCTGATAAATGTCCAGGTGAATTAAAGATTGGTGATAATGTGCAGCCAGAGACAGTACAGTACATACAATACGAATTCCAGTAAATGTCCTCGTTCAGTCTTCACTAGAGAGCTTTGCATATTGGAGGAGTCCCTCCCGGCCTAAAAACCACAGGACGACTTCTTCTCTGTGCACTCAGACTTCCTCTTTTAACAGCTGGCTCTTTGGCTAAGAGCCGTCAAGCTGGAGAGAGCTGTGTGATGTTTCCTCCTGGCAGTGATAGAGCTGCTCTCTAGAATGGTTTCCCCTGGTGCGGGATGCGTCTCGCTGTATTTGGCAACCCAGGAGACGGGCATCACATCTGGTCCTGTGCTCTGCAGCGGCAGACAGCGAGAAGTAAATTCTCTTAATGACGACCGTCTGGCCAACGGCCCGATTTGCCGCGGCCTGGGTGTAAAGCCGGCCTCCTGCTCTAGTGGAGAGAGAAATCTAAAGATGGGAACCTTCCATGATTTGTGAAATGCCGAACACATTTCAATGGTTTTTACTCCTGCCTGAGTGGAAATGAGGAAGGCTTGGAACTGAACATGTTGCTGCGTGTCTCATTGCACTGTCTGACATTTCTCTCTGTGTGACCTTGGAGGAAAAAAACAGCAGTGTGGTCTGAAAGCTGTTGTGTCCAGATGGACAGTCAGCCAGATGGATGATGGACACAAATGCCCATATTGTTTTCCATTAAAGATTGATAAAAGACGAGAAGAGATTTTATATAATATTATTTTATTCATACAGAAATTAGCTGTTTTAATGTCAAACTGAAATTAGTTTTGCCAAGAAATCAATATATAGATATTGTTATATTATCCTTAATGTTTGTTTTGACTCGTGTACGTACTTGTTCAAAATTGTAATTTGCGAAAAAGAGAAGTATTTTTATGCTGTCATAGTGCGCCCTAGATTGACTGACTGATGATGCCAGTACTGTAATTTAATTAGTGCAATATCTGTGTGGGCAGGCCCAATTTGTTTGTAATGTCACTTCAATTCCAATTCGTTGTTGCCAACTGTCTTGCTGGATTTGGTGACCTTTAAAACCCCTAGCACTCTACTTTTTTAATTTTTTTTTTTTTAAGTGGCAAGCAACAAACTTTTTGTGCAAAGTCAGAGAGTGTTCTCAGTCTCATGTTGCTGTAGCTCTCTGGAGGAGAGCACCAGCACGTTCAGTCGACCAATCACCAGCCAGAGTGGAAACCTGAACCTGAACCTGACCAGTCACTAATCCCTAGTTTATTTGTTTCTAAATACACAGTTTACAAGAGTTTATTCCAGATCCTATCTGTTTACTTCACTTCAATTTCACAGTCTATACAACGCCCTACATAGACTTTTTAAATCCATGGTAGATTTAGATACATATTGACAAGGTGAACATTACAACATTACATAGTAATAAAGCTTAAAGTCAGTTAAGTTTAGTTTGACTTTCATTGACCTGTAAATGGAGCCAACAGGCTGCACTGAAACAACAGACATTGGAAACACAAACTTTCAGCAATGGGTCCTCCCAAAGGTTGACTGACTATTATAAAGGGAGGGATGGCTTTAATTGCTATCAATGCATAACTGCGTGTGCTTGCTGAGAAAAAACAAAAGAACATCTTGTATGAACGTTCATAGATTACACAGGACTATGATGTGCTCCAGGCAGTAAGCACCACAGCAATGAACAGCGTGTCTCCTAGCAAAGCTGGGTCTAAATTATCAGTCACCACCCACCCAAAGGCCTAGCTGCTGTTCCCACAAAAACAGTTCCCACAAAGGGGAAAAATATGCACAATAGCAAGTATCATAAGAGTTTATAGTTCCTTACATAAAAAGTGAGAAGACTTCAAATTTCAGTTCAACTTTAGAACGTGTCAGGAAATACTTTTCTGTAAAACTGCCTGTTATGCATACCTTTAGGATGCAGGATGTTTCTCCTGCAACAGCATTATCATTTTGTTTGTCAAATAAAGATTAAAGAGTTGGATTATGAGCAGCAATATCCCATGGCTGACTAAACAAAGAGTAGAACTTCCTCAAAAGAGAATCTAACATCAAAGACATTTCCTAAAAACAGCAAAGCAAACAAATCAAACAGATTCTTCAGTCCATGAACATATAGACAGCTAATATATATCAACAGACATCTCAGCTGGAGATCACTGACAGTGTTATACAACTGCTGGAGTCGGAAGTCTGCAGTGATGAGATACAGAAGCACAGTGCAGTCATTTGATGCAAAAATTCATTTTGAGTATGTTGCAGAGCTTGCTTAGAGAAATGTGATAGTCATTTCAGACCTTTTTAAGGCTCAAGAACCACGTCCCTGTTTGACTTGAAGTTTGGAGAGAGGTTGAGATGACACTGCAGGGATCTGTGTTTGGTAGCAGGCTGTTTAAATGCTCCATGTCCAACAGAGTCTGGGCAGAATAGGCAAAGGAAAATGATTTAGACTAAATATGAGGTTGTTTTTTAAAGATTTTAAAGGTCTGTGGTCTGTCTCTTGTTAAACAGTGGAGCCTTAATTATCATTATCAAAATAAAATGAGCTCCAAATTCATATTGCTACCCAAGAAATGCTTCCAAACATGATGTTTTAGGGTTAAGAGGAGCTTTTGTGAAATTGCTGAATAAATTGGTTAATTAATTAGTCAATCAGCAGTAAATTAAATGGCAATTATTGTAATTAGGAATTTATTGTTTAAGTAATTCTTAAAGTAAAAAATGCCAAACATTTGTCAAATGTGAGGATCTGCTAATTGTTTAATTTTACATTGTAGTAAACTACATCTATCGGCATTTTTGGACTGTTGGTCAGACTAAACAAGGAGCGTTTATTTTTATTTTTTTTTTATCACTATTACTAAAAAAGTAAAGAAAAGCACAATGACAGCTTGACAGTTGGACCCATTTTGAACCAATACCAATAATATTAGCAGATTATATCAAGAAAATTGCACTTCAATACTGCCTTACATCCAGTCATAGTAGTTCCTTGATTATTTGTCTGTAAAATGTCAGCAAATTGTGAAAAATTCCACAGGACCATTTGTCAGAACCTAGGGCGACTTTTAAAATGTCTTGCCCAAACAGTCCAGAACCCAAAGATATTTTTGCCACTTTAGCTTAACAAATTGCTTAATCAATTATTTTATTGTCATAATAGTTTTCTGTGCATAGACTAATTGATTAATCGACTAATCATTGCAGCTCTAATGAAAAATGGTGTCACAGCGAATGTGATTGGATCTGTTGATGTCTCTTCAAAGACACATAAAGTTAGTTTGGATTTTCAGTCAGGCAGAAAGTGTGAGTTGTGGGTAGGAGTTTGTTAAACTCACAGGGTCAGGTTATATTATATGGTTGAGAATCAAAACACTTGGCTACTATCCCTAATGTGCTGGAACCAGTATAGCATGACACCAATGAACACAGTGCTGTGCTTGTGAATTCTTGCTCTGACAGCAGCACTGTTATTATCCCTGCTCGGACGAAATGTGTCAGGGAAGGTGTTAAAACTGTTGAGGAAGAACCTATGGGTGATAACTTTCAGACTTTCCTCCTCCTTGTTTTTCCTTTTCGGGTCGACCTTCAGGAGCTGTCCCTCTGCTGCCTTTTTTGCAGCACACTGAGCAGCAAAAGGACAGACAAGGTGCATGCTAAGCGGAGGTGGTGGCTCCTGTCATGGTCGACCTGGGCGCTATCAGGACGGAGATCAGTCGGCTGTGTCCAGATGACAGGACTGTGCCTGCATCTCCGTCACTGCTGAGCGTCCACAGGCGTCCTCTGGCCAAGGTGTCATGGCAGCCAGCTCAGCATGACAATAGGACAACTAAAGGGGACGAGGCGTCTGCTGACAGCGCCTC